GATAAAGATAATAATAATAAGAATAATAACTTAAATAGCCATACTTAGCATTAAGGATGAATCAAAATAGAAAAAATGACTATTCAGAATTAACGGGTATTTAAAACAACGGGGCCATACAACCTATCAATCTCAAAAATATTTTTGTCCTCAAAATACAAGATATACCTTGAAAAGAAAATAAATTTCTCTACTTAAATGATTCGGTCTTGCACCCCAACTTGAAATTAAATATGCAAACATGAACATGATAAAACACTTCAAAATGTTAATGAACTTGAAAAATAAAAATGCGTACCTTAGAGTCGGCGCGGCACGAAGGAGGCGAATGGTCAAACTTTTTTTTTTTTTAAATTGTTGACTAAAACATTTCAAAAAAGTCTACAGAGCCGTCAATCCGCTCTGATACGACTTTGTCACGCCCCGTTTTTCAAAAGTAATTATGATGATTTTTAAAAGGGCGTTAACGGATTTTGAACTCAAAGATTTTCAAAGATCAACATTGCGCACTCTGATCATATAACTCATAAACAACTTGGCAACGTAATCGCGTAATCGGCTTGACAACTTTATCATATCCTTATCACTCAAATAAAAATCAAGAATCAACTTAACACCATTAAACTTGATAACTAAGCTTTCAATTTATTCATAATCTCCAACTCAAGTTATACTCAAGCACCATAGCATAATCATACATTCATACCAAGTCTCCAAAGATATAAGAATATGATAAATATCAAACAAAGAGTTCTAGATAATCCAAATGAGCAAACAACTAATTAATCTTAATAACACCAGTTTATTTTTAAGGGTGACCACCACGCTGTCCCCGAGTCCCGGCACCAACTCATTAACCTGAAAATGTTAAATGAGGGATGGGCATCAACAGCTCAATGGGGAAACATATTGCGACAATCATTCAAGTTAATAACATGACATCACCATAATTGTACACACATCAAATCATGAATTGGGACACTGTAAATGTGGTCGCGCGACTCTGGGTGCACTAGTCCTTTGCTCGTCGACAAAACATAATGAGTTTTTCCCGAAGGCCATGCATAGTCACCAAAATGTGATCGTGCGACTCTAATGCACCCATTCATGCGGCTCAATGGCCCATATATAATAGTTTTTTTCGAAGGCCATGTGACATGCCCATACAACCATCAGTGACGGATATAAAAATTTAACTCAAGGGGGCCCAATTTTAAATGTTAAGTAATGTAGATTAAGTCGAAACACTCATTTCATATACGAATGTATTTATTATAAATATAAATATAGATATGTTTACCATTGTGTTTTTAAATACTTAGAATCCGTATCACCCTCAAACTTAAAAAAAAAAAAAAAAAAAAAAATCTTTCATGTGTTTATAATTTAGGTGCAACATCTATAATTTATGGAAAAATAAGTTTTTTTGGTTGAAAAATTAATTTAGATTGTACTTTTGCAGCACATTGCATAACATTTTTGTTGAGAGCTTATAATTTTTTGTTAAAAAAAAATTAATAAAGTTAAAAATATTTGATTATACAAAAAAAAAAGTGAAAAACCAATATTTATGAATGTAACAATCGAACTACATACTCGGTTTTATAAATCACTAAATTGATTTATATTAATAAAGTTAAAAATATGTGATTACACAAAAAAAAGTAAAAAATCAATATTCATAAATGTAACAATCGAACTAAATACTTAATTTTATAAATCATTAAATTGATTTACAATTAAGAGACCGAAAGTAAATCATTATAAATATTTTTAAAAGTTTATCTAGTAATGCAAAATATAACTATTGTTAGTACATTTTTTAATATAAAATAATATTATTTAAACTAAAATAGCAATGAAATAAATTTTAGTTACTAATATATTGTATATAATTTTTGTATTTTTTTATACATATTTTATAAATTTTATATATATTATATATTATAGATTATATATATATATATACTTTAAAAAAAATGAGGGGGGCCCACGGGCCCCCCTGGGCCTTCTTTGGCTCCGTCTATGACAACCATAACAATATCGATGCGACTAAAGTGAATATGCGCGTAGTAAAATATCCCCGCCTCAAACTGTCAAAGGCCAAAAATAAATGATGTCGATGATCATCTCACGAACTCGACTCCCTGAAATCTACATGATGAAATTATATAACATGAATATAATGCATAATTAATATTTTTATTAAATTAATTTCGAAACGAGACTCGATTAAAGGTTTAAAAAAGGCTATCGACTCGACTAAAATTAATAATAGACTCCACTTAGGCTGCTGCCGGCACAACAGACCGGGATTTCGATTATGTTGGGATGCACTGGTGGTGCGTTGGTCGCACCTGGGAGGCTATTGGCCGGAAGAGCTAGGTCTGGTGCACTGGAGCACGCGCGGGTCAACTGGGACTTCATGGTTTGCTGACAAGACGTGGTCGCTCGAGAATGCTGGAGGCACTACGGGTCGCTGGGAAGCCGATGCGAGTCGCGCGCCGGGGACGATGTAGAATTCTTGGTCGCCCCTGCAGGCATCGCGCGTACGCGTCGTGCGTTGGGACACTGGTACGCGGGGAGCGGATGCTGCGAGCCGTGCGCAGATGAACGCGGTCGCCTGGGAGAAGGTCTCAGCACGGGCACACGGTTTCCGCGAAGACTCGTAGGTCTCTCAGGGACGGGTCTGCATGGGTCTCATATG